GAGCGCCGAGGGTCTTGGCATCGCTCGGACGTGTGCGTTTTCCGTCGGCGAGGACCATCGAGGAGCATCTATAGCATCCTGGATCGTCCAGCGGAAGATGCACGCACGAAATCGACAAATGTTTGGGGAATGGGCGTCCGAGCGATGGCATGGGGTCAGATGAGGAGTACCCATGCCACTACCCGTCCCTGGTTTTCGCCTTCTTGGGCCTCCTGGGAGGTCCTTGTCGGCACCGCCGGATTCGCCTTGAAATTCTGGTCTGAACGCGCCCCAGGAGAGGTTCAGGGAGCAGCGGTATTGGGTCCTTTTGATTTCGCGGGTGGCGATGGGGGGTGACCTAAACGGGGAGTGAAGGAAAGGGCGGGGCTAGGGCGAGGATATATCGTTCCAGAGCGTTCAGGAACGCTCTGAGAAGGCTGCTGCGCCCCAGACATCCTCCAGAGCCGCCGGATCCCAGAGATCCTCGATTTATCCTCACCCGATTTGATCCTCGTCCTGGCTTCGCCTGACTAGAAGGGGCTTTGAGGGCCCATTTTGGGCCCCTGCTGGCCCCCAGAGAAGTCCCAAGCAGGCCCCTGGAAGGTCCTTGCCTTCCCTTCCTGTTCAGGTCGCCGCCCACGGCCACCCGCCCGAGAGGGGGGCCGAGGGGCCGAGGAGGGCCCGGAGGAGGAGCTCGCCGCGCCCGAAGCCAGACCTCGGAGGTGGATATGCGGTCAATACTTATATCCATATCCAGAGCGTCGTGGACTTGTCGGGAAGGGGTGCCGCAAGGCCGAGCCACACTGGATATGGATAAAAATCAAAAACCTTCGGGGGCAAGATTTTTGCCCATATCCAGTGCGCCTCCGGCTCCTGGGGAAGAGAGCCCAAAGCTCCAAGACGCACTGGATGTGGATATAATTGTTGCCCGCATGATCGACCTCCTACCCTGACGCGTCGATTAAGGAAGTGGCCGTTTTCGGTTCGCGAGAGGGCGTCGCGGCCGTCATTTTTGCGGGTCCAGGTCCGTCGGTTTCGGTCTCAGGCCGTTTTCATTGAGGGGAGGTTTGCTAAAGGCAGGTTTGTCCCCCGCCGAAGATTGTGTGAAGCGGAAAGTGGCGCCCCCCCGCGAAGGGGGTTCCAAGAGCCACCCGTCTGCGCACCAGGGCCGTCCTCTGGAGCGCCTGCCGCAGCAGGGCCTGCAGCCGAGGGCCCTTGCGGCCCAGAGCTTCCATCCGCAAGCGTGTCCGCGTTTCACGCAGGAGCCGCGGGAGCGAATGTGTGGTAGTATCGGCGTGTGGACGCGGAAGCTCGCAGGCCGCCACCGCTGTTTCGGCGGGATGCGCTCCGGCAAAAAAAAAAGCTTCCATCCGCAAGCACCCGAGAGGGTTCCAGAGCGCTCTCCAGGAGGGCACCCGAGATCAGATTGCGGGGTTGTCACAGGAGGGAAGGGTGCAGTAGGTTCACGTCGCGTCGACCGGCGGCAACCCCGCCGCTGGCGTTGCACTTGTCAACGCCGCCGGCGACCAAGAGTCGGTCTGTGTTCAACGATCTGACGATTCGGGAACGGCCGATCGTTCAATGTTGAACGATCCCCGCGGTGTCAGAAACCAACACCGAAGTCGTCACGACACGAACTTGCCGTACCGATACCGGTACCCTTCGCCCATTCGCCATCTTTGTTCGACCTCCTAGGAGGCCCTCATTGCCACCCTTGGGTTCGCCTCGAGATCGTAGTTGGAACGTACCCCGGGAGAGGTCCAGGAAGTAGCGGTATCGGTAGCTGTTGGTCTCCCCAGGTCTGGGCTAGCACGGAGCATACACAGTCAACCCGCACAGCAGGGAGGAGCAATATCCCAAGGTTGCCTTTTGCATCATTGCATCCTTCGTGGTTTTCTCGCGTCCTTCGGTATTCGGCTACGCCCCGCTCGAAAAACGTAAACATGGTTTTCCAAGGCCATTGCATCCTTACCACGTATCCTTCGGGCCATCTGGTTTCGTTATGTCGTGCTCGAGGGGCTGTGGCCGACATTTCTGCGCTGTCTCTGTAGGACCCCTGCGATAATACGGAACAGCGCTCAAGCACGGTAGAGAACATTATGACATGGATGCGCGGCACATGCGTACCACCTGCATTCCTGAGCCACAGGCGTTCGAGGGCGTTGCCACAACGGCACGGACGCTTATACTCCGCGGCGGGTTCCTGTCCCCGCTCACACTCGTCATCCCTCTTTTCATCTGTCTCCCCAGCGTCGGCATCAAGCTATCAGGAACGAGGAGGTTCAGGCTGGCGCTCAAGGAGGGCCGCGGCCCGCACACTCGAGCGGGCGTCCTCGATACATGAGCCAGTGAAGGAACACATCGGGATTTCATGGTCTCCTCCCGAGCGTTGGTGTGGCCTCCTGTCGTCAGGGCGCAGGGCGCTGGCGACGAGGGCAGTGTGAACGCCCATGGCCCCGTTCAGCTGTGTCCCTGGCTGCCGGGCCCATGGCGTTGGCAGACGGGGACACTGTAGACGGAGGCAGTGAGAACGCCCGCGTGTCCCGCTGATCCATTCCCTTCTGATTTTCCCGCAGAAGGCCTTCCCTTGCTTTTGCCTTGTTTGGGCATGCTGGGAGGCTCTCGTCGCCACAGCCGGATTCGCCTCGACATGCTGGTCACAACGCACCGCGGGAGAGGTCCGGGGAGCAGCGGCATCGGTACCTGGTTGTGTTCTCCAGGAGGCATCTCCAGACCACCGTGCGTGGCCACGGCCACCTGTACAGACGTCGGCCAGGGCTGGACCGAAACGGTATTTGGGCGATTTCGTGGGCCGTTGTCGTTTCGACTTCGTTCTGCGGTGGGGGCGAGTCGAAGACACAACGAGGGCAAGCGAGAGCAAAAAACGCAACGGAAAGCACACCGTTCAGGCTCAGCCCTGGCAGCGGCCAGGATGGCGCATGCTCCGTGGTGCCACGGCCCAGGATGGCCCTGGCCAGGTTCCGTAGCCATCTCGGCTCAAGGGCCGCTCCCGCTCGAGGCGGCGAGCCGGGCCACACCCGGCCCGGGCGGGCGCGGGCCTCTTCGGCGGCCGCGCCTCGCGGATCTCGCCACGGAGGCTCCGCGTGACGCCCCGGAGCCGCGGAGGGCTTCGGAGGGGCAGCAGGTGGGCATGGAGCAGCTGGCCCAGCAGCCCCAGCGGGGCCCGGAGCAGGGCTGGACCTGGACGGCATTTTGGCGATGTCGTGCGCCGTTTTCGTGTTTCGATGTCGTGCTGCGGTAATATGCGGGCGGACTGAGGACAAGACGAGGAACCACGAGAACGACGCACACCGTTTGGGCACCAGGCCGCGCTGACGCCGCTGCTGGAGGGCCTCACCGCCGCCGCCGCCGGGCCGGCGGCGGGCGCCGCGCGCTCGGTGCCCGCCGCGCCCGCGGGCGCCGAGGCGAAGCTGCTGTGGGGCTTCGCAGGACGGCGCGGCCGACGCCAGCCCGGACGATGGGGTCGAAGCGGCGACCGAACGTGCCAGGCCATCCGTAGCCAGTTTGGCTCAAGCCAACTGGTTCAGGTTCGCTTGGGCTTGCGATGGCGCGGGAGGGCACGCCGAGTTGGCGTCCCAGGAAGTCGGCAGCGGAGCGGAATGCTGCCCGGCAGGCTGCAAAGGGCGCGGCCGACCGTGCAGTCCTGAAGCTCCAGCAGGAGAATGCAGTTCTCATTCGCGAGTACGCCTGCCTCAAGGAGGCAGTTGCTTTGCTTTTCGGCGACACTGAGGTTGGTGACAGGGTGGTCGCGCTCATCCCCGCACTCGCGGCGCGGCTTGCGGGCCGCATCCCTGGGCACACCGACCAGCTGAGGCGCAATGTCGCGCTTCATGCAGAGGTCCCTGCTGGTGAAGAAGTAGCTCGGGCATCGACACAGCAGCTCCGTAAATGGCAGCGTGGATCTCGATTGGAAGTTCGTCATCCTAGCCATCGTGAGCAGTGTCAGGAGGTAGTTCTCGACAGTGCACGGGTAGCACCAGACGGGCCAGTTGTGGTGGATGAGGACAAGCCCGTTGTCCAGGTTGCGGGCAGGGACGATCCTTGTTCCACATTTTCGCCAAGGCAGGAGGTTCGTGGCACAGCTGTGCTGGAGGGCCAGGTCGGGTTTTCGCGTCTCACTTGTGGTGAGTTGTTCTCGAGGCTCCGCAGTGCAGCAGTTCATCCAGTTTCAGTTGCTGCGCTCCCACCTTCTGCTATTGAGCTAGCGTTTTTGAACAGTTCCGTGAACAGCTCTATTCTGCGAAGTGGCTGTCTCTGGATACTGCGTGCGAGTTTGGCAATGCGAAGGGCATGCTGTGCACCTGTGGTGCCACGCTTTTCTCTGGTTTGTGCTGCGTGGGTATTCCGCAGCTGCAGGAGCCTCTCAGTGGAGCAGGGTTTGATTCTTGCAGGGGCCGAAGTTCGTCCAGCATTTCTCTTCCGTTGTCGAGGGCACAGGATACGATGGTGGTTGAGGACCAGGTCGACGAGGCTAGCGTCACAGGTGGTGAGCAGTGTTTCTCAGGCCTGTGTGCTCGTGCTCCTGTCGTTCCTGCTGCAGGGCCTCCTGAGCGAGCGGCACAACCACGGCCTTCATCTTCTGCTTGGTGGAGGGCTCGTGCTTCTGTGGCCAAGGCTTGGCTGGAGCTATCCCCCAGTACCACCGAGGAGGTAGTGAAGGAGACCAGCGAGTACGCCTCCGCCTCCGCAGCTCGAGGAGCGTGGCGGGGCCGAGTCCCGAGCCGCCCTCGGCGGGCAGGAATCGCGAGAGGAGAGTGAGTGAGTGTGTTGGCGTGCAGTTGCATTCGGTTGTATCCGTGTGTAGAGCTGTTTTGCCTGTGTGCGAAGATTCCTGTGTTCAATCGCATTCGAGTTCACGATGGGCGGCGGCCCAAGGCGGCCCCGCTGGGAAGGCGAGAGGCGGCCCAAGGTGGCCCCTCTCGGGTGGGTGGCCCTGCGGGGCCCCCGCGAGAGGCGGCCCTAGGCGGCCCCTCTCGGGTGAGCGTGTCTTTTGGCCGTTT